GAGAGATTGTCCGAAAAATGAACATTTGGCCGAGAAGCAAAGCTTCGAGGGCAAATATGAAATTTTCAGGACAATCTCTCAGCCAAGGACATTATCAGCCGACATACCAGCGAGCCAGAACGGGGTTTATCTTTTTATAACCCTCCCATTAATTTTCACATCGCAATTAAACTGCGCTTAAACGCAGTAAAAAGCCAGTGGTGACCTGATGGCGAATGCGCGTGATTGACGCAAGCAAAAAAAAAAAGAAACCAGTTTGGTTTCCTTCTATGTAAATAGGAGAACGGGAAAGTTGAAACTCTTGTGTTGACTATGTTTCTTTTTCACGCAAAAAGTCGAAGGACAAATATCGACTCGGACTGGGGTTATTGCGTGAAAACTGTCCTGTGATTTTGCACCACGTGACTTAAAGCAACCAATAAAATCGCGCCAAAATTAATGAGTGGGTTATAAATGATTATATAGTTGTTTTAGCATGTCGTAAGTAGCTTTAGCATGTTAGTTTGAAATTGATTTCGAATTTTATAGTGTATGCCCCACTGGCCATATGCCTCCATCCACGAGTTGACTTCCGTTTCCTACAGGGCATTCCTGCTTAATGAATTGATACAGTTAATGACGTCTGGCTAGCAAAAAGTGTATTTGCGTGTAGGGTGGGTTGGCGACGTCACAGCTATCTTGGAGGAAATTTGAAACTCTTATGCCTCAACTCTGCAAACCAAATTTAGACTGAGTAAAAGGGGCAGTTTAGCCATGATTCAAAGCTGTCATATCGTCTTAGTTTGGCTTGGAATTATAAAATTTTTCGATTTTTTTCTTTTTTTGCTTGTCACTTACTTGCCGTATCTTTTAAATATTTTTCACATTTAACAATTAATACAGGGATTGCGGTTGACTGGATGGGAAGGAACATTTACTGGACAGACTCGTGGCTTGATGCTATTGAAGTGGCTAAGCTTGATGGGAGCCACAGACGTACGCTCGTCTCCTCTGACCTGGTTGATCCAAGGGCCATTATCGTCGATCCACCTAATGGGTAAGTCTGATTAAGCTATAACACAGTGAATAGTGTCTTGAAAACTAGTTCACTCCATTTTCTTTTCTGACATTATTGTACAGGTCAAATTTTCAAAGCTATTTATACGACATAATTTGAATATATCAACAAAGTTGAAATGGTAAATTGGCCACCGTTACGGTTATAAAAGCTGACGTTTCGAGCGTTAGCCCTTCGTCGGAGCGAATAGAGGAATTGTGGGTTGTGTGTGCTTTTAAAGGCAGAAAAACGGAGCTACGTGATTGGTGGGAACATGGCAACGAGAAAAACAGGAATAAATTAGTGAAATGAAAAGCGTTCGTTGATACCAGTGGAATTTAGACTACGGTTTGAAAGATGAGCCTTTGTTCAAGAGTTTTGCGGCTTTCCGTGCTACCTAAGTGTAAGGAAAGACCGCAGATTGCCATATGTTGCTTAGAATGATTGGGTAAATTAAAATGTCTAGCGACTGGTTTCGATGTGTCCTTGTCATTCCTCTCCACGTCACGAAGGTGTTTTTGGAATCGGTCACCTAGTCTTCTGCCTGTTTCGCCGCTGTAAATATTTTTGCAATAAGTGCAAGTTGGGCAATAGATTACATTGGCGGAGGTGCACGTCAAGTGATCGGTGATCTTAATGGATCGTATGGGACCCGATATTTTCTCAGTTTTGTGAATGAAAGGACACGTTTTGCATCGTGCACGAGCGCATTTAAAAGTGACTGGTTGGTCATTACTCTGAAAAGAACTTCTGACCAAAAAATTGCCTTTGTTTTTGTCGCTTTTGAATGAAATGAGCGGAGGCTGCGAAAAGATAGTGCTTGTCTCTGGATCATTTTTGAAGTAATTAAAGTTTTTTAAAAAATGACGGATTTAACAGAGTGGTTGTGAGGGTGAAACGTGAGAGTGAATGGAATGCGGTCGGAATCTTCCTTTTGCGACGTTGGTAGTGCTGAATGTCGATCAATAAGTTGGGCGCGGTGGTAAGCCGCTTGATTGACAGAATCAGGGTAACCACGTTTATCGAAAAACTGGCACATGACAGTCTTGATTGTCAACACAACAAACTTAAAAGCAGCTTTCTGTACGGAGATTTGGAGGTGTGACAATCGCTAATCCAAGCTCAAAGACTACAATAATGTTGATTTATTGTTTTCCTAGGCGGTCATATTCAAATTGTTTTGATAATCATTTTTTTCTTCCAGTAAAATGTACTGGGCCGATTGGAGCCGAAACCGACCTAAGATAGAAGTTGCAAACATGGACGGAACCGACAGGCGGATCCTCGTAAACTCGCCACTCAGCCTTCCAAATGGCTTGACAATCGTCCACTCAACGAATGAACTATGCTACTCTGATGCCGGCATGTGGGCTATTTCCTGTGTGAATTTAGGAGACCTAAGCATGCGCAAAGCATACAACCCAGCTCCTTATCCGTTTGGTATAACCAATTTCAACAGGACTCTGTTCTGGACGGACTGGACTCTTGGAAGAATTCAGAGAATGGGAATGAACTCCAAGTTCCCTGACAAGCCTCTAAGGTCATTTGTAGGAAGCAATGGAAAGATATTCCACATTAAAGCGGTCCAACCGTGTGGAATGACAGGTTAGAAGTTATGAAGAAAGTAGGCTGAAGGGAAAGTGTTGATCATTATTGCTAACAATCTTGCAATTTCTGCTCATCCTTTAGTTTGTATTTGTTTTTGTTTTTGGTGTCATCTCTCTTTTTCAATCAGCCGCTGCAATCAAGAACCCATGTGCTGATGCAAACGGCAACTGCTTGGGTTTGTGCTTATTGAAGTCGAAAACCTACACATGTTCATGTCCTGATGGACTTCATCTTGTAAAAGCTGGTAACGTAACTAAATGTCAAGGTATGGTCAACGTGGAGAGAACACATATTGCCTTAAGGTTACCGTGCACCTTCAGGGGTGTCTCATGTGCAAGCGATGTAGCGCGTCCGGTTTAAACTGTAGATATCTAAACCCCTATATCAAATTAAAGCTTATAAGACTGGCTATTAGACTATACCAAAAATTTTGAAAAAACATTAATTGTCCAATTTTTCACGACTTCTAAATGCGAGCGCCCGAGTCACCTTTTAAGAGCTACAAGTCAAAGGGAATTTGTTTGATTGCTCTCATATTTTGACAGTAGCTAGTTACATATAAACAACAAAAAATTGTCTCCGAAGTTTTTAATTTCTAAATACTTTTTTTTCAAGAGCGATTTTTGTACGATCACTCCACATTTTTTTAATCCTATTTCAAAAAATGTTCGGTAACTTTTCACTAAAATTGAATATGGCAAACTGCAGATACATGTTTTTTTTAGCGCTTTGGCCCCGGAAACGGAGGAACACATTAAATAAGCGAAAAGCAAAATTGGCTTTGACATGTAACGTTCAAAAGGTGAGTCGGGCGCTCGCATTTAGGAGTCGTGAAAAATTCGACAATTAATTGTTTTTCAACAGTTTTGGTATAGTCTGATAGCCAGTACTAAAAGCTTTAGTTTTATATAGGGGTTTAGATATCTATAGTTTAAACCGGACGCGCTACATCACTTGCACGCGAGACACGCCTGAAGGTGCACGGTAGCCTTAAGAGAGAAAGATTTTTTCTTGTTGGAGACAAAATAAAAGAGACAGTAAAGATCGAATTTCCCTCAGAAAATTGTGTTTGTTTCATGGATTGTGAGCTCTGAACATTATGAATAAATAACTTTTTTATTACGATTGAGCTTAGCTTTACCCTAGCTGACCATAGGTCAATAGCTTCAAGTCTTGCCTATTCTTAACAATATTTTGTGAAATTCTAATTACCGTATTTCTTTGCTTTGTCCACTTTTCACTGAGTCTATCCAAAACCGTTTCATCTTTATAGATGCTAATCATTCCTATTTCTGCTCGTGCTTTATACAGATAAATGTGACAGTGCCCTTGGAATGGAAAGTGGCCTAATTACTGATAAACAGCTTGCTGCACACTCAGCCTGGAATGGAAACCACGCTCGTTACGGCGCATCACGCGCTCGATTGCACTTGAAAGAATGGCCTCAGGGATGGAATGCACAACAATTTGACCTGTCACCGTGGCTACAAATAGACTTGGATACAGTGCGCACCGTTACCGCAGCAGCAACGCAGGGGTATGGGGAAGAGAAAGAGAAACAATGGGTAAAGACATATGAGCTGATGACATCTGTTGACGGCGAGAGATGGACCGTTTATAGAGAAGGAGGAAGGAAACGGGTAAGAGAAATAGCTTTTCTTCGCTAGTCATGTTTCGTTAGCACCTCCGTATGTCTAAAGAAGTGACGTCTCCATACTTTGAGTCGCTCGTTGCCACATTCAAAGAAACTCTTACCTAAAGAAGACTACAAAATATTAACTTGTGAAGAATAAGAAAAAACAAACTAACAAAATAAGCAGTAATCAGCCAAGCATGGAAAAGAACTGAGTCAGTGAATTATTTTTGTCATTTTCATTATCAATTTCATTATCGTTATCATTGTTGTTACCATTATTGTTATTATTAGTATTATTATTATTATTATTATTATTTTTATTATTATTATCATTTTATATCATCATCCTTATTGCTATTAATATTTCCCTTTACATTTTCCGTTCATTGGATCAACTACAAACTTGATAACATTTTAACAAAATCATGACATTCTAGTTATAGGATAAACGTCATTTTTAACAGTAAGCGATTTCAAAAATGGATTCTCCATAATCGCGAATGAAAGTGTTTATCTAGCTGTTGTTCTAATACGATACAGACAAACAATTATAGTAATGATGCTGCATAGTTGTACTGCATGAATGGATTATTTGATCTTTGTTCTATCATTATTGTTTGTTTGCATAATGCTTCGGCAGATTTTTTTAGGGAACGTAGACACAGGATCGGTAGCACGAAACGAACTCAAGATGCCGCTGAGGACTCGCTGGCTCAGGATCGTCCCTCGTTCATGGAACAATCATATTGGAATGCGGGTGGAATTCTACGGCTGCTGAGATGACAATGGTATGTGCTTTTTTGATGTTTGATGGTTTGTTTGTACTTCTGATATTTTTGGAGGACAGACACATGGACTACTACGTTACCGTTAATTTTATAACATTTTGCTATTTTTATCGCCGTGGGTCTCTACAGTTATACTAGAATATTACTACATAGTAATGCTGGTAGTAACGATATTAATAATGATAATACCATTAAAGACCTTTTGTATTTTAAACTAGCGTCAAATTATGCTCTTCGCTGACAATCTCTGTCCGTTCCTTTTCCATACTCAAGTTACATCTGAAGTTGTGCTGTCGTGAGATGGATCAACTAAAAGAATTTTTTCTTTCAAAGAAACGACCAACATTTCCAAGCGGCATAGAAAGACGGTTACACAAATCATTATCGGCAACAGCAAAGGCATACAGAGAAAGATCAATAACACCGTGACCTTCCTGGAAAGAGCTGAATCTGAAACCTGTAGCAAATGGCTTGACTGTATTTTTCTTTTTTTGGATGGATAAAAGCTAGATGAAGACTTATTTGTAGACCTAGATGGCAGTGCGAACTATTCATGTCTCAGTACAAGTATACAATAGTACTTCGAACTGCCTGCTCTGAATATCAACCACCGGAATAGATGAATATTGTTACAAGAGTTCGTTAAAGAAACACTCCATTATGATAATTATTGATATGCTCGATAACAATTTAACCAAGTGATGAATTGTAAGATTTTCTTAGGATATTATCTGAGACCTTTGTTAGCCTCTAAACTTGCAAAATCTGACAAGAACTCGTGTGCTGCGTTACAATGTCTTTGACATTAGATCCGAGAGTTTCGTATCTAATCGAAGCAACACCCAAAAGACGATGCGTTTGTCAATTCTAGACACATGTTTTCTCTGTTATTTATCCTGATTACTTTTGAAATAAAAAGTAGCATATCTATCATTTCCAGGAGATAAAGTGCTAAGGTTGGACGTCAATTTCAACTGCAATATTCCAAAGTCCGTTGAAGCGAGCTAGTCACATAAGCTTTAAATGTTTTAATGTCGTTTGACTATTACATGTCAGAAAAAAAAATTTCCCGGTCAAATGTGTCAACGATTAGAATTCTTAAACAACATTAGTACTATAGTTGTATCTGGATGAAATAGAATAAAGTTTTGTGAAGACCTTGGTAAATTAACGCTGTATTTGATAGCCCAAAAGCATGCCGCTGTTCACGTGATAAACTATAACCTTTGGCCCCTCTTTTATATTTTAAGAGTTGACTCTTCCACCTTGATCTCCTTAGTTTGTCCTGCTGATGTTATTAACAGCTTCTCTGTGCGATATTCTCAAAGTATTTTAAAAAGAAAATACTTTGAGAATGTTTGAATAACAAAATACTTTGAGAATATTTGAATAACAAAATACTTTGAGAATATTTGAATAACAAAATACTTTGAGAATATTTGAATAACAAATACTTTCACTTTCTTTCAGATCAAGAGGTATCATTTCGTTCTGTTTTGTTTCTTTCCAGTCCCCAGTAACAGTCACTTTGTATCATACAGAGGTATAGCCCAGGGGTATCAAAAACAGCCAGTTACTGCCGGTCGGTCTACCGCCCTTGTAAGGGCTCATACTGCGGTCTGTTTGGCTTGCGAGCAGTCTTCGGCTGATAGCTTTCGGTTTACCGAATATTTAAGATATGACCGAGGAGAAAATTGCCCTCTTTTTAGTTCGAACAGAAGTGATATTAAATTCACCGCTTTGCAAAAATTATTCTGCTTTAATGTGAGTTTTTTTCTCTTTATTGTGTAGAAGACAGTATAGTCAGAAATCATTAACTCGACCTGCTTTACTTGGTCGCCAATTTCCGTGTATGTAGAGACGCATGAATGCAGTCACTTAACTGGTGTAGTAGGGTAAAGATCTCTCTGATTTCTATTTTTAGGGGAAATATTCCACTTATAGTTCTAATTACAAACAGAGCCTCAGCCTCGTGTGACATAACCACAACTTGTTACTGAGGACTGGATAATGAGCGTCCTTTTATTTTGAATTAAATATGTGATTGAATTGTCAATGATCTTAAATTTACTTAAATTTAGGGATCTATTTGCTCCGTCACTTATAGAGGGGGATTAAGTAATAAATAAGTACATTTTGTTGATAGGGTAACCCTCCCCGGGTCTGGACCTCATTGAAATATATACTGATCAAGGTCAGAAATTTCTTTCATATCGGACACTTAATGCATACGCCCTCAAGCGGCGCGTACCTTAAAGTGGTAATAGACTATTCGATTTCTTTACATTTTCTTAGGAGCATGTCTGACGCATCAATAAATGTTTTTGTTCGATCTACAGAATTGAAACGTTTTTAGCCACTCATAGTTCTCATGATAATTCTGCTTTTTACCAGTCTTGATATATTACGAGACAAGCAATTTTTAAATTACCAAATATGGAGCGCTATATTCAAACATTATGTTATTTGTCTTAGAATCGCATCATTGAATACAATCTCGCATTTTGATTGGTTAACGAAGCAAGGTGTTTAGCGTGGAATTGCGAGTTAAAAACGAGGCTAAGTGAAATTGTTTCGCATCTACGTAAGCATAACAACTATCGTCAAATCGTTACAAAGTTTGGTTTCTGAGTCAATTTAAAATGTTTTCAAAACCATTGTCACCTTTTAAAGAACAAGAAACAAAAAAGCGTTTCTTAAAGTGAGCCTGAGGTTCTTCCTTGTTTTGAACTGAACTTAAAATTCTTGGAGAGGCATGAAAAACCTCTTTCGCTCGCGACAACGCGAAAGCGAGAAAATCCTGTGAACCCGGCCCAGAAAAAACAATCTCCGAGCTAACAAATCACGTCAACCCGGGTTCAACATCCATCCGCAGCCATAGTCCTTTAGAAAAACAACGAAGGATGTCAAGCAAGTTGTCCGGGTTTTCAGTCGTACTGCTATGACTGTCACAGCTGCCAACGCCAGCGGCAGTCAACGCACTGAAGCTTTGCGAGAAATTAATGTCAACAGCCTAACACTTCCATCAGTAGTCAGCAATAACAAAACAACAATGACTAACGGTAGCGATGGTCTGACAGCAAGAGTTCTAGGTGGACTGTTTACCAATGTATCCTTCAATAAACTCTCCAGTGAACATTTCCATTAACTTTCAGTTGAATGCTCATGCCAACGATTCAGCTAATGGCAGTTGCCTGTAGTGAATTTCTACAAATAAAAAAATTAAAATTCTTGGACTTTTCATGAAACACTTCTTTGTTTTTAAAGGAATAAATATCAATACACGTATTTACACTTCAAGGTACTTACCTTTAATCAATCGCAATGTTAAACTTTCAGTGCATTTGCTTGCACACTTCATTTCTTTCCGTTTTGCCACCAAAGCGATAAAAGGTGTTAATTATTTTCCTACTCGTGCAAATTCAGTGGAAATATGAAAAAAAGATGGTAAAAATAAACGGCTTGTAAATTCAGTGAAATACCACCATTATCCTTAAATAGTGTGAAGCTTGTTTAAAAAGTTTTGAAACCGAATGTAATGACGAGGTTCAAATAAAAGATGTCGAAGGTTCTAACGTGCACGACTGACCTAGCTTCCTATTCGCTGACGCAGTGACAGTTCTGACAAGTTGACTTCAAAATGGCTTTCTGGGGTGCGCGCTCAGTATGAAAAAAAACAGTATTATTGCTGTTTTCTTGTTTTCCTATTTTTATTCAATGATGGATTCAAGGAAAATTCATTACCTGACTCGTGAATCCCGCGTGAAATTGCACTTGAAAACCGATATCGCACTCATCGCTTCGCGATTCGTGCGATATCGGTTTTCGCGTGCAATTTAACGAGGAATTCCCTCGTCAGGTAATGAATTTTCCTACAAAATCTCCTTACCAAACGTCACTAAACAAGTATGCTACTCAAACTAGAACACTGCAAACACTGCAGAACTTTATTATATCTCCAGCATGATCAAAACACTCTCATTTGTAAACAGCCGCCATATACACCGAATGCAAACATGACGTCCAATTTGAGTTGCCATTGTGCTGGACTGACTAGCCTCTCACACACGTAATAATCAGTTTCCACGT